GCATGTCATTGAAAATCCCTGAGCAGTCCCTGGCCTAACCAGCATGTCATTGAAAATCATCACGCATGTCATGTCTGGTCAGTGTGTAGTAATAGGTTGTGGACTCCTGCTCAGTTTAAGGATGTAATGTAATAGTAACAGAAGGATTTACATCTATGACGGCAATGTAATTTACGGATTTTCATGTAATTATGCAATATAATGTAAGGACGTTCATGTAAGAATATAATGTAATCACAATCATTCTTGAATATAATTTGATACTTGATGCTCATATTCAATGTCATGGATGGATATAGCATTTCATTGCTGTTACCATCAAGTGTACCATCAATTTCACCAAGAACTTTGAACTCAAAATATTTTCTTTGAATAAGTTTTATTCTTTGTATTACAGTGTGTTTTACTATTAAAGCTAAATAATGTGCAACATATCAATCAACCATATCAGCAACGGTTTTATTATGAACAATATTCATTGCAATTTATCCAAAAAAGAATGCAATACATAATTTCATTAAAATTCTAAATATAATCCATTGAACACGATTCTATCATACAAAGCTGTTATACAAAATGAAAGTTTAGTACTGTGTGTTATTTATGTACTGAGATTTTATGGGTTTTCCTTTTTTTCCAAAGGATCCTAAAAATTGGGGCATGAGTAAAATAGAAAACATGGCATTCCAATTGTATAGAAGAAGAAACCCTTCCATTATTTTTTTTTTTAAAAACCTGCTAACAACAGCTTGTCTCAGCCTGTCTGGTCTGTCTCAGCATGTCTGGTCTGTCTCAGCATGTCTTTGTCTGTCTCATCTGTCTCAGCCTGTCTTGTATGTCCTGTCTGTCTCAGTCAGTATTGTCTGTCTTTTTTCAACCCTGGACCAACAAACAATTTGAAAGAAATGTATGTTATCTAGAACTTATAATATTATTATTGATAGCTATCTGTCATGATCTTTACTCACAGGGCCCGGCTAACTTAAATATATTTCATTCAAATTTCAAAGGATTCTTAATGACTGGCTATGACATTTCAGGAGTTGTTGTTGCTGCACTTTCTGACAACCCTCAGTATTAATTAATGGCTGGTTAAATAATATAACTGTGCTATAGACTTGTACAGTGTTAGGGATTGGTTTAGACTCGTCAAGACAGTGTTGGGGATTGTTACAGACTAGTGATTGTCTGTGTTAGGGATTGTTATAGACCTAGTGAAGGTGATGTCCTGTGTGGTCAGACAAACCAATAGATCCATTTGTTCAGAGATATCTCATTGAAAGAACAGATGCTGGCTCTCTGACTCCCATATCATGTTTGCATAAAGAAGTTAGAAATAAAAATCTGTGATGAAATCTACACCAGTTTCTGTGATGGCACAAATGTCTTTAAATAAATGTAAATAAGTTTAAAGCTACATTTTTACATAATAATTGCAGTTGCATATAGGCACATAGAATTGTTCACACATATGGCATCTATTGTATGGCTGAGGCAATTGCTCCGTGAAGACACGGCAGCAATGTCCACATTTTTTAGAACCGGGATAATTGAAATGGACAAGTATAAACAAATGAAAACAATAAAAAAATGTATATACATTGCATAAAAACCTCATTTGTCATCGAGAAAATCACCGGACCAGTCAATTTCAAATTACAAGGATTAAAAATTCAATTTAAAAAATACATGCAATTTCCAAAGGAACGAAAAAGTTTAAGATAATGTTACTCAATGTAATTGTTCTATTTGATATATAAGCCTTATAATGTGCCCTCTTTGAAACATTTGACATGTTTTATTAAATGAACTAGCCTTGTCTACATCTCATGAAGCACAAATAGTTTTTTTTAATAGTTTAGGAAAATATTTTTTAAACCTGCTGTAGATAAACAACATGTGGAAAAGCTCTTTATAACACTAGTTAAGTTTACAACACTAGCATTAGTTTACAGCAATGTGCATTAGTTTACAACACTAGCATTAGTTTACAGCAATGTGCATTAGTTTACAACACAAGCATTTGTTTACAAATAATTCAATAAAATATAAGTTATCAATAAATATTGATACATTGCCAGGAGAATAAATAATTTAGAATTTACCTGATTTAAAATCATTTCAATTTAGAAATATAAAAATATTGAAAGTGCATATTCAAAACCAGTCAATTCAGCATCTGCTGATATTTTACTTATAGATAAATACTTAGCATGTTTCAGTTGTCTGTCAAATATCAACTTTCAGGATTATGGGAAGGTTGATAATGATGGCCTCTTGAAAGAGACAGGTAGGAAGAGATGGACAGAAAGAGACAGGCAGACAGAAAGAGACAGGCTGACAGACAGAAAGTGACAGGCTGACAATCAGAAAGAGACATCCTTACAGACAGAAAGAGACATGCTGACAGACAGAAAGAGACAGGCTGACAGACAGAAAGAGACAGGCTGACAGACAGAAAGAGACAGGCTGACAGAAAGAGACAGGCTGATAGACAGAAAGAGACAGACAGATAGTGCGTGTGTATAGTACAGTCAAATTTAAAGGGCATATTTCTATTAAATACTCTGCCAGTTTTGAAAAAAAAATTACAATAAATTCAAGGCACCTGATGTCGTGAAATATTAATAAACTAGGTCTAGTGCTAAAATAAACAATTAAAAGCCAGATACATTATTTACTTTTTTTTTTTTTTAAAAATCTTTTACAGCCTCACAATGTAATATTATAAAAAAATTTATTTAAAAAAATAAATTTTCATTTCATTCTTTCTTTTTTTTTTTTTTTTTTTTTATTAATAAACTAGGTCTAGTGCTAAAATAAACAATTAAAAGCCAGATACATTATTTACTTTTTTTTTTTTTTAAAAATCTTTTACAGCCTCACAATGTAATTTTATAAAAAAATTTATTTAAAAAAATAAATTTTCATTTCATTCTTGCTCTTTTTTTTTTTTTTTTAAAAATCTTTTACAGCCTCAAAATGTAATATTATAAAAAAATTTATTTAAAAAAATAAATTTTCATTTCATTCTTGCTCTTTTTTTTTTTTTTTTATGGACCACAGTTCCCACTAAATAGATTTATGCCAGAAAGTGAATCATGAAGTGGCATGGACCACAATTCCAACTAGATAGGCATGGACCACAATTCCCACTAGATAGATTTATGCCAGAAAGTGAATCATGAAGTGGCATGGACCACAATTCCCACTAAGACAGATTTATGTCAGAAAGTGAATCATGAACCCCATTCAAATTGACCAACTGTTAAACAATGGATTTATCACACAAATTTAACAGCCAATTTGAAAACCTAACATAACCTTGTTATTATAAATTACATATCTCAAATATTACATAAAATATCCATATGGGCATGTCATCATACACATTTCACAAATACGAGATAAAATATCCATATGCACATTTCGTCATACACATTTCACAAATGCTAGATAAAATATCCATATGAACATGTCATCATACACATTTCCCAAATACGAGATAAAATATCCATATGGGCATGTCATCATGCACATTTCACAAACACTAGATAACATGTCCAAATGGGCATTTCATTTGACACACTTCTCAACTCACAATTTAAGAATGTAGAATGGAAAGGTGTTTACTTCTTACATTGGCTAAACATTTCATCCAGGCAAATATTGGAACAGTCTTAAAATGTTTTTAAAAATCCAAGAGGTTAAAAATATTAACATTGGTCAAACAAAGATTGTCTTGATTGTTCTAAACAGCAAAATTCATTAAATAAAGCAGTGTTAAGAAAATTATATTGCTGAATATAGGATTTATTTTGTAACTGATGAACATACGGCACCACCTGAGTTTCACATCATATTAATATGTTCATTTCTCAATTAAGATCAAATAAAGATTTAATACTGAAAAAATTTTAAACAAGATTTACAAAGCAGTGGGCAATACATATATATGTTAAAATAATTAAATTTTGATGGCAGCAGAAAAAGCACTGGGTTTGGTTTTATAAAAATAGAATTTACATTCAGCCATTAGATAATAAAAGAGATAATTGCCATTCAATGGTACAACCAATGAAATGGAAGAGTTTTCCTTCCCCGATCCCTTCAAGTCCTGGGGCAAATGGAACACAATACTGGTAGCACTGTTGTAAACCAAGATCAGCTATTTTTGTGTGGAGAGATTTGTATAACTGAGCAATGCTGATTTTAGTTATACGGAGAACATTTTCAACAAACCTTTGGCTTCTGTGTAATAATTAATGGATAAATAATTTTAAAATTATTTTTTTTATCAATTAAAATAATTGGTTTCCTTGCTGGAATATTGCTATAAAAAAAACATGCATTTTGCACCGTGGCAAAAATGTGTAGAAAAATATAAAACTTATACTTAGCTACAACTTACAAGACAGTGTGCTACACAATTTTTAGATTGTCTTCTACACTAATGTGTAAGAATTTATTTTAAAATGCTCAAACTATAACCAGGTGAATACCATCATTCAATGGAGACAGACCCCCCACCCACTCCCCCCCCCAATGTGATAGAGAAGCACAGTTTGCAGTTCTCCACTGTGACAGGATGGATTCAAGGTTACGATAACAGGGTAAAACCATCATATCAAGTCAACTAGACAGAACAATTGTTCTACTGATCTCAGTCATGTCTTATACACGATTCAATCACAGCATTATTATTATTATGGCAACAAGAGCTTTGACGTGGGTGAAAAAAGGTAAAACTTTTGTAAAAACATTATGAACATCAAAAAATGAGGTCATGGAATACTCATTTCCTATTAATTGAAAACACATTCAAATGTTTACAAATTTTTTTTTTTTTTTTTATTTTTTTTTGTTATTGACACAAGTGACCTTTGACTACGCCAAAAGAAAAAAAAACATGCAAAATGAAAAAAAGTAAAACTTTTGTAAAAACATTATGAACATCAAAAAATGAGGTCATGGAATACTCATTTCCTATTAATTGAAAACACATTCAAATGTTTACAAATTTTTTTTTTTTTTTATTTTTTTTTGTCATTGACACAAGTGACCTTGGACCACGCCAAAAGAAAAAAAAACATGCAAAACCTGTGTCCAACATTTGTCAATTGCATAGAAATGTTGATAGACGAGGAATGTTTGAAGAAGAGATAGGTGATGTGCTACTGTGTATCAAGTTTAAACTTTTTTACTTGCAGTAAGAAATGTTAATTTCTTTTCATGATGCTATAAAACGAAGGAGCTGCCAAATCAACAAAACAGTTCACAACCCTTTGAGGAGCCCAATATGGTGAAGTGAGCAGAACGCCCAGATAGTGCCATCATTTTGCTTTTAAAAATATGATAAAATTATTGTCAGCATTAGGCATGTAGAAATTTTTTAGAGAAAAATTTTTTTTACAGGCATTATATTATCATGATTTGTCAGCATTAGCGAAGAAAAATAATTAAAAATAAATATATATATAAAGGCAAATATATTTTTAAGGGAATTAATAAGATTGAGCTTGTTAAACATATTAAAAACTTGATAATTTCCCTTGCAAAGTAATACTAAATGATCTTTATCTAAGAAACCAGCAAGAGCCAAATGAATGACCCATAACATACACCATTCATAACTCAATACATACAGAAATAATGTAAATTACCTTTGGTATATTAACTTCTCCATTGTTACACATGTATTATTTAATGGTGTTTATATGTTAAAAAAAAAAAAAGCACAAGTTGAAACCCTTACAATTTTAAGTTAATAAAAATATGTGCAATCTGACAGCTGTGTATCTACTAGGGTTGCACTGAGTGCCAGCTGAAAGTTGTTTATCTACAAGGGTTTCAAATCAGCCAGATACTATGTTTAGCAAATTTTAAAAAAGTCTCCAAACAAAATGTTCACTAAATGAAAGGATCACCTGCAAGCCCAAAGGAGTATCATCCCTCTATGTTTATAAAAGGTACTGGAGATGAATGAAAATATTTGTTGTTCCCTATCATTTGAGTGTAGTTTACTCTCTCTTTCCTCATACATTGATGCCTGTCAGGTCCATATTAAGCTTGTAACAAATCACTAGTATGTAACTGTTTAATTTTTAAAACTTAAGTAAATTTTCATCACTAAATAAACACTAAAAATTGAAATTAGGAGAGTTTATACTCCAGTTACTGCTCTTCATCTGTTCAGAATTTTGATTAGGGGATCTTGACACTGGGGCTCTCATGGCTTGTGATTGAGAACTCCCAGGATCCTGATCCTGTGTCAGCTGAGAAAGTTCGTGCATTATTTCCTGTTGTTTCCGAAGAAACACACCCTGTGGACTGAACTTTTGCAGCATTGGGGAGCCGGGGACGGAGTTTATCACCGTTGTAGGCGTCGAGTCAAAACTTACCGGACGTCCCTTTCTGTCGCCTTCTTGTGACCCATTGACCGGTCTGTTGGACCTGTTGCCTTGTGTGGCATCCCTAAGATGGGTAGGTAAATCATTGACCTGTTTCAGATTGGTTTGGGAATCAAGGGAGGATGAGGAACCTCTGGGGGACTTTTGGGGAAGGCTTTTTGAAGCACCGGTATCCTGAAAGATGAAATAACAGAGAGCTAAATGATTATTCTCTATAAAAGTTTACTGTATGTACATTATATACATCTGTTTTAGTCTGTTTTATTACAATTGTGCTAATTCATGGTGCCAAACTGTTCAGTTACCCTTGTAGTCTGTACAGCTACCCTTGTAGTCTGTAGTTACCCCTGAAGTCTTTACAGTCACCCCTGTAGTCTGCACAGTTACCCCTGAAGTCTATACATTTGAGTCATGAAGTCATGAGTCACATCTTTACTCTAGACTGTTGAGTGATGAAGTCATTGGTCACATCTTTGATTCGTAGCTTTGAGTCATGAAGTCATCAGTCACATCCCTCCCTTATTTTTGTGACTGAAATATTTTTTCAATGGTTGTTTTTAAGGCAAGTCATTTCCTTTATTCAAAAGGCCAAATTTTTTCTCAGTTCTGTTTTATTGCTAGGGTGAAGACTTTAAATATTTGATTTTTCTCCTTTCTATAGCTAAGTATTTGTTCTTAATGTCATGTTGTTGCACTTAAGAATGTATTGTTGTGTCTGCTATTCAGTGCCTTTAGCCCCAATGTGCATCCATTTGTTTCAACTTTACAGCAGTCAAATTCCCAGAAAGCTAATTAACTGATCATTTCAATAAGTTATCGACTTTAAGCTTTCAGTTACTTATCAACTTCAAGCTTTCAAAAACTTATCAACTTAAAGCTTTCAAAAACTTATCAACTTCAAGCTTTCAATAACTTATCAACTTCAAGCTTTCAATAGCTTATAAACTTCAAGCTTTCAATAGCTTATCAACTTCAAGCTTTCAATAACTTATCAACTTTAACTTTATAAGATACTAAGTTCCGAAGATTCATTATAATTAATCAATCCCTCCCTGTGGCGCTACACGCCATGTAGGGTTTTGGTCTGCCTAACTACTTCCTTCCACTCAGATCTAACGATTGGGGCTCACAATTTGACTAAACATGCATGCAAGTAATGCACTTTATAAAAATCCCAAATAGTGCCACCCCCCCCCCCCCCCCAAGTCTCACAACCGCACATTTTTTTTTCACACCCCTGAACTATATTAATATTCTAGTGACCCACCCGCCTTTACACTGCAGATTTTTGTTCCGAAAACAAAAGAAAATATTACACACCAAAAGCCCCTGCGATTTTTTTTTAAGAATCTCATTTAGCACAGTTATCAGGGATGGCCAAACTCAAGTCGAGTTCCTCCGGGAAAAGGAATGACTCCTGGATTAATGGCTACAAGCAATGAACACCCGCACAGACTTCAAAAAGTTCAAGAACCTCATTCTGATGGAGGAGTTCAAGAATTGTATTCGTGATGACGTACGAACACAAATTGCAGACCATGATGAAGGTGATGTGCATACGGCAGCAGTTTTCCCTGATGACTCACCATCTCACATCAACTCTCAAAGAACCCATTTGACACTAAAAGACAAGCACAATAAGGCAACAGCATCAACTTACAGTACATCTCCACAAAATCATATAAGCCCGGTACAAAAGAAACAAGTGCAAAAGACACATATAATATAATACAAGACTTCATGCCTTTCATATCGGAAGGATTTGTATCACTGCCAGGTGATTTTTCCAGTCTACGACCAATCAAAATTTTACAAGATACAGGTGCTTCACAGTCCTTACTACTTGAGGGTATACTTTCCTTATCTGAATCTACTGCTACTGGGAGCAACATCCTGTTACGAGGCGTAGAGCTGTGATGCATTAATGTACCTTTACATCTCATCAACCTCAAATCAGACCTAGTCTCAGGATCTGTGGTTGTGGGTGTCCGACCAACATTACCATTTGATGGCTCTCATTGCTGCTAGGCAATGACTTAGCTGGTGGGAAGGTGATAGCCAAACCCATCGTTACTCATGAACCTTGTTTCACTGAATCTCAAGAAGAAGATCCAGAATTATATCCAGCATGTGCTGTTACTAGGCCATGAGTTCAAAGATCTCCAAAAAAGAGATTTAACCAAAGAGTAATAAAGTCAATCTTGACATTGATCTGGGAACAGTCTTAATGAAGAGTCAAATGATCACTAGAGATCAACTTGAATGCAGCTTATTGAAGAGAATTATTAGAATTCTGTAGAAAAATCTCAACAAATAAATCTCTAGAAATATCAGTAAAACAGACTATCAAAGGAAGAGAGAGATATTTTTGGGAGTTCGCTATTACGATATAGAGATTTGCTATACAAGACAGCGATTTTTTTACTAAAATATGCTGTGTTGTGTGTGTAGAATCCCTTTTCATCATTGTACCTTTTACAAAATTTTAACTTCTTCAACATTGCACCGGTACAAGCCAAAAATATTATACTGTAAGTCGATAGCTTTAATTTTATTTTATTTTTCATTTTGTAATTCATTATTAACTTAATAAAATTTATTAATTGTAATTAGCACCTAGTTTGGGTATCGTTTTCTTTGTTATTGTACCTAGCATATAGTATCGTCTTCTGTTGTGTCCTGTTTTAGAACGAGCCGTATACTTAAATAAGAGATTAATTCCTCCATACAGATAACAGCACGTAACAGATAGGTTGACTGGAAGTGAGTCAATTCGCCATCTGAATATTTGCCAGCCACAAGAAGAGCAAAACTAATGTTAAGTATTTAAAAACTGACAATATCAAGAAATCTTTACAATGTTGATGATGTTAAAACTATCAATTCCTATTTCTCTATTACTCACATGTCTTCCATACTCATTTTCAAGCCGAGGTAGAAGACATCGAGGAATGGGAGACCGTCCCTCACTGCACAGGAACAGTATGAAATCCACCTGGGTACGGGAAAGCAAGGGAACTAAATCTACTGGCATTTCCCAGGTTGTGTCCTCTCCTTGCTGAAAAAAGATACGATTCAAACTTTGTTTTTCATGACTGCGATGAATGGTCCAACCTTTGGGGAATTCTGAATCCACCAGTCGTAGACCACACTCACAGAGTTCATTTTGTTTCAGAAACTGGTAGGTTTCCTGGAAATAATTCTTATTGACCTCAATGTGTGTGTAGTAAAAATCATTGTCTGGGGGAAGGGGCTCTAACTTAGGCAAAGGAGCAGGCGGCATACACTTGATCATCATCTTGGTATTTTTCTTGACTGCAGCAGAGTTGGCATATGGCTTCTGGATCCTGCTGTCAGACACGGACCGGGCAAGACTGGAGGCGTGCCCGTGCTGCACTGTGTCCCTGGTATCGGAGTGTTGAGTTTTCAGCGAGGGTTTTGGCGCTTTTGTTTGCGGCCCGGCATTGACAGCTGTAGGGGCTCCACCTCTGCTTTTGATCACCTTGACCGGTCCATTATCAATCATATCTGATGATTCAGGTATTGAGTTTTGTGGCCAGTCCCCTGAAGAATTTATGGGAAATCTTGAGGAGCCTGGTGATAACCAGTCAGCTGGAGAAGATATGGCAGATCTCAAGGGCTGTAGCCTTACTAGAGTGTCTCTTTGATTGGAACTTATGCCTGTGGTAAGAAAAAAATATTTCTGGTAAAAAAAAATTATTTTGTATGGCTAAAATTAGTTCCTATTAAATTAACATATTGGCAGCACAGACACTGCATCAATTTTTATGGTGATGCAAGATCTCCAGATTGTGCTCCCCAGCAACGGAAAGGTTTTCGTCACAACCCACCACCATGCTGGGCTGAACCAGATGAGCTTAGTTTCAAGTTATAACACAGCTGTATTTACTCAATATTTCATATTGTTAATTGTGGTTTATTTGTGGGCCAACTTGAATCTGGTTGGAAGGCTTGATAAGATTTCCAAACTCACAAGAGACAAACTGCAAAAGTCCTCAGCTGACAATGTTACAAGAACAATGAAAAACTTGTTTTATCCTAAATAAATGTGTTGAGTTTTGAATCATTAATTTTTACATCCTTGAGCAGGGACTCCATATGAAATTGTTCCCAATGAAAAGAGTTAGCAGGATTCGTATACAAGATTATTGGAAGATTTTTATCATAATTTTACCAAGAAGTAGCAGTGGTCCAGTTTACTGGAACCCCAATGAAACACACCCTGCTGTAATTCAAATTCAGACATAACACAGATGTGTCATTGCTCCAAAAATTTCTTATACTTGTACGTACAAAAAAAAAGTATGTGGAAAAAAGATTTTAAAGGTTTAACTTCATTTTAGATGAGATCCTATTTTAATTTCATAGTGGCACAGTTGCCGATATTTGAAATTAATAAACGTCAAAGCAGGAACGCCACCAACATGTATGCTGGGTTTGGCTGTGTTGTTGTTAGCAAATAATATCCTCTTCACAAGCTTTAAAATCTCAACCCTCTTGGCACAAAATCAAGGCTTCCATGAGACCACATGGAATTCAGTGTCTGCCTAAAAGCATCTCATCAGCATTGGGAAGCATAAAACTATTACAAGACCTCGCTATATTAAGACTCCAGTTTAAACTCAAGTCAGTTTTATGGACCCCAATTATCCCGTTATAATGAGTTTCCACTGTACTTGAATTGTTTGAAAGACATTGTGTACCTGTAAAGAGGATTAACGTGATAACTATGTGAATTCTACCTAAATGAAATATAACATGAGTAATCTCTGAAGCTTTTTATTTTGTCAACCTACCATTTTGCACAGGATCAAAGCCAGTTTCAGCCGGTCCATTATAGCGATCAATCCCATTGCTACTGTCCATCATCTGACCATCATGATCAGAATCCTGAAATTCACAAAAAATATTACTGGACTGTGAAAATAAATACAATTAACTAATCAACTATAATTTGTCTTTTCATTGTTCTTAATAGAGCTGCTCCCTTCCTAAATCTGGCATGAGAGAATAGAGTTAATAATCTGTAGTGTGACCATCCATGAGAGAATACAGTTCATGATCTGTAGTGTGACCATTCATGAGAGAATGTAGTTTAGCCATTCATTAATAATATTTACAAAAAATAACACAATGTTTTAAAAAGAACTCTTAAAATACAAATTGTTTAAATTTGTTTGATCAGATAAGAATGCCAATGTTAATGTCATGTCGCTAATGCATCTTGACTAAAAGATTGCTGCTTTGAAAGTGTCCAGGTTTGTCCCAGCTATAGAAAGATGCCAGGTGGAATGGATTACTAAGTCAAGTAAGGCACCTATTCCTGCGGAGGAGGTACGAACTGAGTCTTAAAAAGTATCAGATACCTAAGTCAGAAGACGGCAACCAACTTGAAGCGGTATTAAAAATCAGTTGATTATGCAAAGAGATAGCAGTAGTCCTAATAGATTCTGATATTAGGACAATTTTTTTTTTTAATGAAATTTTTTTTAGCTAAAAACACACAAAAATCTTTTGCTTAGAACATGAATTTAAAATATTTATTGCTAAACGTGCAGTAGTGATTTTCACAGGTAGGTAAAGCTAAAAATGAATGTCTACTATTAGTGTCTTATTGACACATTTAATATAGCTCATATATGCTAATTATCTATTTTCAGAATGAACCAATGTTAAATATTTTAAAATTCTATCTTGCTTAATATTATACTACTCCTAGATAAACTAAGAGGACCATTCAGTGCAAGGTAAATAATTCTAATGAAATATTTAAAAATCAGCTTTTGGAAAATATTTGTGTTATTTGAGAGGTGATAGAATTTCTATTGGAAAATATGATAGGCAACAAAATAAAGCGTAGATGGTCATACAGTCAGATAAATATGAAATAAAATGTTTCAAGTAAGTTTACGGATATCTGAGATGGAATGGTAGATAATCACAGGCTAATGCTTGAGATGGATGTATTCCTATCTTTTTTTATTTTTATTTTTGTGTGTACATCCTTTAAAATCTTTTTTTTTCAGTATTTAATTTTTAAAAGTGATCAAATAAATCTGATGAAACTTAATATCAGTTATTATATATTTATACATATATACATATATATATGAGCACTTACACGGGATTGATGCCATCGATTGTTGTTGACACAGAGTGGTGTTATTAGCCTGATGTTGTCAATGTTCTGAGTGCAGTGGATTCTGTGTTCAGCATAGTATTGGAGCAAATCATTAAATGTAGAGAACTTGAGCCTTTCTGATATAAAATAGTAGTACGCACCATTGTGTTTAGCAATGAAAACCTTTGCATGGCAGCTCTCACCATCACTTGTAATACTGGAGAGAGAAAAGGAACTCAGCAGTTTTACACTGAGGCAGGCTTTGATCTCTAAATAAGTAGTTATTAGCAAATAAATTAACAAAAACCAAGATGAATAGCCCTAGGGAAAAAACAGAGGGCAATTTTAAATGTTTAAAGCTTGTTAACATAAGGACTGATGGGCTGGAATATTTTTATAGCCTTTAAGGATTTCGAAAAAATGATCAGTTTGTTTTAATGGCAAATTTCCCCCTCTCACCCTCTAAGAGCAATATTTTTTTAACTAATTATAAATCCTATAATCCAAAAAAAATACATTTATCAAAATGAAAAAAACCACCAAAAAAAAAACCGGGAATTACAATAAATATTACGATTCCTACAATGATATGTACTTTTAATAAATTACCATATTTTTAAATGAACTTTAAATTAAGCTCAAAAAGTTCATTGGGACATGTGTAAGGTGGTGTGCCACCCACAAAGTCACATGTCATTGGAATGAAGTAAAATGTACCAATAAATTCTTATGAGAAATGATTATTTCATAAAATAAACAGCAAACTGAAGGCTTGGCTAACCAAAAATCTAATATAAACTAATCCTTATTACTATTATTAAGCCTAAAGCATTAAGTTGACCAAGTATTCATTAGCCTGATATAATCAGAATGCTATGATGCTGTGTTGATGAGGTAAGAATATACATCAACTTTCTATGAAATTAGACTGAAGGTAAAAATAGTGAAATCATACACAGATTCCTCAAACCTTGAGGCCACAGAATTCTCAGCTCAGTTAAAATAAATTTTTGTTTTGTTGCTACCACATAGTTACCTTGATGTAATGCTAACAAACGAGGGATCGTTATTACTGTTGGGACGAACAAAGTAAGATCCTTCTCCTTTGTGGTATCTTTTCATGTAATCCCGAGCCTTAAAATCAATCATATTATTAAAACATTAATGACTATGCAATGGAAAGTGAATAAATTTTAATTTAAAACATTTTCCGCATATGGCAATCACTTCTTAGAGCCATTATTTATTCATTGCATTATTTAGTTGCGTCATTATTAGCAGCAGCTGAAAACTTACTAATTCTTTGCCGCACTATAAAATTTAATTGTAAAAATTTGATTGTGTCTCTTATTTGTGTTTTTCAAAATGTTGGATGCTGACAACACCTCAAGATAAATTGAAGCACACATTTCCATTTTTCAATAATCTTAGGTTGCATTCAATATGTTACTTCCATAATTGATGTAATCTTGTGGTCAAGATTATACCAGAACTATTACACTAATATAAAATTATATGTAAAAAATTCTGTAATTTATACTAATTTAATTAAGTTTTAATGACATCAAAAAAAAGAAAGAGAACTGACCTCTTCTCTACTGCGAATGTTTACATGGAACATAGAAAGGGACAATATTTCCTTAGGATACTGTGGATTTCTTGTTAGAGACATTTTTTACTTCATACTGGATCTTTGAAAATGGAAACTTACAAACTTAATGTAACCATGTTCTGTTGTATGAAGGGGAAAAAAAATTGCAAAAAAATAGTTTGTGTCATTACAAATAAGATAATATTTGACAATTATTAATAGGCATAGGGTATTCATGTCATCTCTCAATGATGGAGAACTAAATTAAAATTTGCTTTTAACATCGTAAGTCATGACAGACACAAAGTCTTAGACAAACAATTTTTTTTTTTTTAATAACAATACAACTAAAGTCTAAATAAACCTGAAACAGCACTCTCAATCTCAAAAATTATATCCACTAAAAAATAAAGAACTCGGAAAAGGCCTCATACTAAAGTCCTAAAGTGATAGAAGTAAGTGATGAATGCAAGATTCAATTAATTAGGCCTATGCTGCCTATACTTTTACATTTTATTTTTCACTAATTTCTAATTTTAAGCATTATGCTTGGTTTTCTTTTGGTTTTTTCTTTGGGAGTTGGAGGCATGAAACATTAAAATTAAGTGGCTCAAAATAGTGATTAGACCAGAGACTTAGCTAAATTGGGGCAAGGGGGACAGATGTCACCAGGGCCCAGATTAGCGGGCGCAATAAAATGGGCTTTGGTGGTAATCATAAATGAAAATGATGGGTTTCAGAGGAAGGGGACGACAAAAATGAATTTTGTCCTGTGGCCCTAAACATTCCTTCTTAGCTACGCCACTGGGTCAGGCAGTTTTATTATATGTAGGCGTATGCCTATGTAAACATATTATATTATATATATATATATGAATATGTGTGAAGTCAGTGACTACAAATATATATATATATAATATTTTTATATAAAGTCAGTATTAAACTTCAAGTTAAAGTGTGTACACCTAGTGTAAAAGACTAAAAATCGTTATTGATACGCTAGGTCTAGGCTATTTTTAAATTCAAATTAGGAATATTTTAATTTTTTTTAAATTCTTAATTTGTGACAATCACCAAGACTACGATTTAAAAAAAGCGATCACTATGAATATGACTATGATATGGTCACTATGAGTACTATGACTAGTATATGACTCTGACTGTCATCATGAATATGTTGTCTTGATACTTTTACTTTACTTCCCACTTTACATTTAGTCTTGTCTTTGACTTATCACTCCTATTTATGATAATTTATCAATTTATCTATCTCTATAACTGCTTTGAACTGAGAAGTCACTGCCACTGGGGTTATATTAATTAATGAATGGGCTTAATTATTACCTCCATAAGATAAGGTTGCTCCGAAATGAACTGAATACTACTAAGCTATACTACGGTATAAACCACTTAGTAGACATCTTTTTCTTTTTATTTTTAGATTTCACATACACAATTTGTTAACTTAAACGTGTAATTAATCTACGTTATTTAAAAAATAGTTTGTAAACTAATCACTTTCATAAAATCGATTGAGTTATACTACTACTACTACTACAACTAATTACGACATTTATGGATTACATAAATATCTCAAAATTAGAGAATTAAAACTAAAAAAAAAAAAATATTTCAATGACTGTAACAAAACGACAAGCGATGGTCTAGCGAAGGTGACAATTTTTCTTTCCTGGTTGCATGCTAACTCTTCTCAACGGGGAGTTAGATTTGACGATTAAATTTTCATCATTAAAATGATTAAATTTTTACATCACACGCACTCAGGGCGATGTTGAGGCAAAGTGGCGCTAGGGGTGACGCTTGAAAATGGCGCCCGAATATAGAAAAAAGTGCCCCCCCCCCCCTTTAGATTTGACGATTAAATTTTCATCATTAAAATGATTAAATTTTTACATCACACGCAGTCAGGGCGATGTTGAGGCAAAGTGGCGCTAGGGGTGACGCTTGAAAATGGCGCCCGAATATAGAAAAAAGTGCCCCCCCCCCCGGCAGGAAGAGTAAAATGCGATTTTGGTGACTTGTGTCTTTGTGAAGTAGGCCTACAGCCTACATTATATTTTATCGTTTAACTCACCATAAAAAGAAGGTCCTATCTAAAGACGATTATGGTGCCCCACCCCTTTTAGGGTTACCATGCATCCGGGTTTCCCCGGACACGTCCTCTTATTAGGCCCCTGTCCGGGCTTTCCAGAAATCTGGCTTTTGTCCTGGTTTTCCCTGTCCGTTCCCGGCCGACACTTTCTTACTTACATTTCCACGTTGGATGCTACTCTGTTCCGTGAACTAATCTCGCGCGCCAGCAATATTTAGCTCAGTTGTAAGGGTTACAAAGGACTCTAAGGTAACTACCAAAATTTCAGGTTCCGGCAGCCATTTTTTGTAAACATAAATTATAGCGGTCACACAATGTCATGATCATTGATAAATCATTTTTTTTTTTGTTCAAGTCCAATAAAATTATTTAGTTTCAAAAGCGCCGAAACGTCAGTGTTTATTTACAGACGCAATGACGCCAAGAAAAACCAAATACTAAGGTTTTCGTGTAGGTCGATATGACGTGACGTGGAATCTGAATGTTGGACATGGGGCAAAGGAACTTATATTTTATATCTTCGTTTGCCAATTTAATAATGGTGCACTAGATTTAAAGGCGCACATCAAAACGCCGCATAGTATTAAGAATGTTCCCGGAAAAACTTCACCTACCGAAGTTACCAAATTTTTCGTAACACCAGGTTCGAAAAGCGATGAATCTGGTTCAGCAGCTGACGCCATATTGGCGTGTCACCTTGTCAAGCACTACCATCATATGGAGCTATAAATCAACGAACTGCAGTTATCGCTTTTTAAAACTATTTTCCCTGATTCTGATATTGCAGGCAAAAATCAGTCATTGTATAACGTAACGTGTACCGAACATTCAGTTCAAGTTTATAATTGAAACTATTTACAAGAATTACAATATTTTATGTAGTTTAACTTTACTTTTGGCGCAGTCCTATGACTTAACATAGACATTGGCGTAGTCCTATGACACAGCCCTATGACTTAAAATTGGCGTAGTCCTGGGACTTAAAACAATGGCGTAGCCCTATGAACCGCCTACGGATTGGTAAACGGATTTGATGAAAATTTTGACTTTCCTCTGTTTCATCTGAGGACTTATGGTAATCCAATAGCCCACAACCCCACCCCCCACCCCAAAACACCGATGCTGGCGTCCGGGGTGAGTGCCCCTTCGACCTCCCTTCACACGGCTCGGCGTGCGCGTTACATTGTAGGTATCATATCTTGCACTCACACACACACACAAAGTGTTTGTCGTCCTGTTTTACTTATTTTTAATGATGTATGATAACAGAGAAACGGTTGAACTAAGTCATAACAAAGTTACAGTCCACACTGGTGGATACAAAGGTCAGAGGTCAACAAACAGCATATACTTGTAATTACAGTTATTTAAAAATGCAGGTCTACATTTGGGTAGCCAATTAACGATACTTCCCAACCTTTATTTTATGCCCTATTACTTTAAAAAAAAAATATGCATCACTAGGGAGAACAGTCAATTAACAAAATGGTCGATACCATATGACTAGACGTCCTAAAAGTCTCTATATCCAGCACTCCTTATCGACTGTTAGTGTTAGAGTTCAACGAAAACAAGTCTCGCACACGGTACAAAAGTAAAAATGCATTTTAAAAAAATAAAAAAATTTAAAAAAAAAATATATATATATATATATATATTATACTTATTTATTTATTATTATTTTTTTTTGGTTTTTTTTTTTTTTTTTTTTTTTTTTTTTTGGGGGGGGGGGGGGAGACTTCAGATTTTGTTGATTTTTAAAATTAACTTTAATTTAAAAATTAGATAATTAAACTTTTAACCTAATTTAGGCCTAAATAAAGTTAGGTGTTGATCACACAATATTGTCAAGGTTATAAACGAACGTTGTCGCTTTCTGTGTGTGTGTGTGTTTGCTTACACTTAATTTCAGACATGTTTATAACTTAGACTGCCCTCCCCGGTCACGTTTGTTACTTCTCCGTGCGAGTTCTAATCATTGCCACTACTGCACTGCCACCACGGCCCACCAACACTGCTCCGACTTGAGAAATATCTCCTAGTCCTACTACCAGGCTTAAAGCAACCCTTAAAGCTTATTACTATAAAATATACTCTTAAAAAATGCCCAACACTGCGAGCCTCAAATTTAATTTTTATTTGGGGTAAAAAATGATCTTTAAAGTTAACATTAAGGTAAGTCGTCTTTCACTCTGGAGTTAAACATTGCGTATATATTTTGTGCTAGGTGTGAAAAGGGAGATAGTCTAATTCACCTAAGCTTTTATCAAAATTTGTAGGAATATAATTTATAATCAAGGGAGATAATAATTATGGGGAAAAAACGGAATTTACCCCAAAAGTTGAATAATTATGAAATAAATTTTAAATAAATACTCTATAAAATCTACTATGTTGATTATGTTACATAGACCAAAGGGTTCTTCTTTATTCATTTTTATGTGAGAAAAGACAATTTTATTATTTCCAACCAACCCACTTTTGTAAGAGCCTACACTAACTGTGCATTGTTCAGCAATCGATACATTCGATACTTACCTTTGGGATGACTTAGCCAGCCACTGCATCGCTATAAACTCTAAGCCAGCGGTTCTCAACCTGTGTGTCGTGACCCCTATAGGGGTCGAACGGCCCTTACACAGGGGTCGCCATAGACCACCGGAAAACACATAATTACGAAGTAGCAACGGAAGTAATTTTATGGTTGGGGGTCACCACAACAAGGAGGGGCGGTATCAAAGGGTCGCGGCATTAGAAAGGTTGAGAACCACTGCTCTAAGTCGTAAGCTTGATAAGCTAAGCATTCTTTGGTATAAGCTGTATGCCCTGAGCAGGGCAACACCAATGTCTGCAACCTACAATCTCATAGACAGCGTGCCACGACCGGTCGTGTCAGAATAAACCCTCACACCCATTTAACGTCCATAGAGACGGGGGCAGCAGATCTAGACACAAACTTGTCAAGTCGGTCACAGGTCGATTGTCAGCCAATATTTCATCATATTGCTACAGCGAGGATAGCTTCATAGCAGAACACCATTCAATAACTCCCTTATTAAAATCAATTTGGTTCTCAAACTTGGTGACTCCTACCTTCTATGAACTGAGTGAATTATACCTTATGTGAACTAAGTGAATCCTACCTTCTATGACCTAGAAGAATTCTACCTTCTATGAACTACATGAATTCTACCTTCTATGAACTACATGAATTCTACCTTCTATGAACTACATGAATTCTACCTTCTATGAACTACATGAATTCTACCTTCTATGAACTACAAGAATTCTACCTTCTATGAACTACATGAATTCTACCTTCTATGAACTACATGAATTCTACCTTCTATGAACTACATGAATTCTACCTTCTATGCACTACATGAATCCTACCTTCTATGAACTACATGAATTCTACCTTCTATGAACTACATCTTCTTCTATATCTTAAGGGCCCACAATCAATTTATTTGATCATTTTGGCTCCTATGCATGTAGATGGGATATGCAATGTTTCTGTTCCTGGTGTTGATGAGGAAATTTCACATGAATCCTACCTTCTATGAACTACATGAATTCTACCCTCTATGAACTAAGAGAATCCTATATTCTATGAACTAAGTGAATTTGACCTTCTATTAACTAAGTGAATCCTATCTTCTATGAAAAATGAACTAAGTGAATTCTACCTTCTATGACATACGTGAAACCTACCCGTTTTAAACTAAGTGAATTTTACCTTCTACGAATTCAGTGAATCATACCGTCTATGAGCGATGAGAATCCTACCTTTTATGAAGTAAGTGAACCCTAACTTCTATGAACTATGAAATAAGTTTAGTTCCATTTTTTTTTAAAACTTGTCGCCAAAGAAGGCTTTTGGTCGACCTGTTCGCTGTTGCAACAATTCGTTTATTGAGCTCTCATCTCGTTCTTTAACAAGTCCAAACTGAGTAGATCCAAAAAGCTGGTTCAATCCCCACCAAAGCCTAGACAAGTAAAAACATCCTCTTTTGTTTGCCTCTGCTTCTGCATTAGCCCTGAACACATTGAACTCAATTGAACTGACTCACAGTGACCACAATATGGCAACCAATCAGATCACACTCTTTCTGTCAGAAAACACTCTAAGCACTGCCCCCCCCCCCAGGCATTCAACCCCCCTCCGATAACAATGTGTATAACAAACAAACAAAAAAAACGAAAATACATTTTTTAAAAAAATAATAAAACACTTCGTATACTATAATAACATTTTTTTTAAAAATTGTAGCTCGTGCCTTTCACCGATTACATTTAGTGAAACCATTAAAATATCGCTATGCTCGATACATTTGATAATCCATATATTTAAGGCTAATCTCCTTACAGACTATAAATATTTTTTATTTAGTAAATTGGCAGCCCCTCTTTAGTTTTTATATGCCGAAGTCTTCCTTGCCGTTGTTCGCATAATTTTGTATTCATTTCGCCTGGGGTGAACTCCCAAAATTCCTGCCTATCCACACATCTATTTTTTTTGTAATGTGTTTTGAAAAGCGCCCTGAAAACTTTATATCAATTAATAC